TTTTATAAACTTTCTGCTCTTTTGGAGTAACTGTGATAAATATTACATTTCAAGACATAAAACAGTCTCTCTTTAAAGCCATCACAGGCAGAGAAGGTCTGTGTTCTCCCCAAATACAGTGGAATCTGGCCATGAATCCGGAGTTTAAGGAACAAATTTGAACCTTGTCAGGTGTCAGGAAAAGGAATACATAGCTCAGAGGTTGATGTGTTTCTCTTCTTTGACCCATTTAGGGCTTGGTTTTGCCTTCTTTAATGAGGCTTGTGGTGGCTGTGGAGCCAGGGTCTGAGGACTGCAGGCTGGGTGGGGCTCAGATTCCTGTGGCTGGGAGGCCCCAGGTGAGACAGACACTCCCCGTGGCCTCAGGGTGAGCCCGTGGGGCACAACTGAAGGAAAGGCTCTGAGCCTTCCAGACAGTTTTTCAGACTTGTCATTTAAAAAGGGACAGGAAAATAGCAGATGAAAAGGATGAGGGTAACATCAAAGGAGTTATTTTAACAAGTACATCATACAGTCGGAATCATAATCTGAAGTTTTCCAAATGGCCCATCTGTATATTATACAACTTGTAAGATTCCTGTTAAGTCCCACTCTTGAGGGACTGTTTGCATTAATTTTTTTAATGGTCACTGAGATCTCCAGGCACAAAAACTTCTGGGAATAATGGGTTCACAAGGTTTATTTGTGGGGTTTTCCCCTCATTGTTTTTGACCTACCCCTGGTGTATTATACCGCTGACCACAAAGTTCTTCCTGACGCTCTCCTGCTGCCCTCTTCCTTGCCATGCGGCCTTCCTGTTGGCCTTCTGTTCTTGTGACTGCTCCTTCCTTGTCCTTTCAAGGCTCCTTTCCCTACATCCATCCCTTAATTTTAGATATTTTCCTCCTCTGCTCCATCCACATGTGGTGCTCATTTAGGGTTTCAGTTGTTCTCTCCATGATGATTCTCAGATCTTGAGCTCCAAACCAGACCTGTTTTCAGAGCTCTAGACCCGTATACAAAATTGCTAACTAGACATCCCTACTTGGTTGTCTCATGGCTTCCTCCACCTCAACAGGTCCTCCTCTTCTTCATCAAAACTGCCTCTTCTCTAGTGTTTCCTGTCTTAGCAAACTATGTCACCTTCCAGGCACATGCCCAAATACCCTTCAATCCTCCTTCTCCTTCCCTTCCCACATACAGTTCACCACCAGCTTTTTTTTTGTTTTTGTTTTTAAATTTTTTTTATTGTTGCTCAGTGACAGTTGTCCCCGTTTTTCACCACAAGCTTCTTACCTATACCTCCTAAGCGTGTCTCACCCTGTCTACGTCTCAACCTGTGCACCCATTGCAATCACCATAAACTCAGCTACTATAATTTCTTACCTGAGGTACTGCATTAGATGGCTTACAAGGCCTTCGGTGCTGTAAACTTGCCTTATCTTTCAAGTCTTATCTTTTGTCACTTTTTCTCTCCTGCTCTATGCTCCAAACATTTTGAGCCACTCATATTTGCCTTTGGCTGTTGCACAAATAATTTCTTGGGCCTAGAACATACCTTCACTTGTCATATCACTGTCCCTCTTCCCCATGCTTCTATCATCTCTCATCATTTTACTGGTTTATACAGCTCTCCCTCAGGGAACACTTCCTCTGCTTTAGGCCAGGTTAGGTTTCTTTGTTATGTCCTCATAATTACCTAACCTCCTTCCTTCATAATACTCATTATACATTATTAGTAACACTTACTTAAGTGTTACTTTTCCAGCTAGACTACCTCATTAAATGCATCAGATGGTTGGATTTATTTTTTCCTGGAGAGCATATATTAGGAACCTCCATTTTTCTGTTTTAACTGGAATCATGTGTTCACTAAACCTTCTGTAAAGCTATTGATCTGAGTTTGATCTAATGCTCCATTTTCTAATGGATTCCTTGTTTGCTGGATTATATATTGTTTTCTTTCTTCTTTATATCTTTGGTTGAATTTCCTCCTGGAATTTCATGAGAATGGATGCATAGAAGGATATCTTTTAGAAAAACTTGCATGTGTGAAAGTGTCTTTATTCCACCTTTGCAACTGATGTATAGTTTGGCTGGGTATAGAATCCTGTGCTAAGCTCATTTGCCTCCTCAGTGTTAATATATTTCCCTAAAATTTTCAAGTGTCAAGGGATGATGTTGAGAATTCTATTATTGTTTTGATTCCAAATAATTTTTAGATAATTTATTCTTGTCCTACTGGACTGGGAAGCTTTTGGAATCCTTTTCATCATTCTGAGAGTTCTAAAATCTCATGCTGAAGTGCTTTGGTGGAGGTCCCTTTTTAATATAACCATTATACTGAGTAGGTCCTCCCAATCAGAAAATGCATGTCTTTCATCTCTGGGACATTTTCTTGTATTTGTTTTGTATTTTCTCCTCCACCATTTTCTTGGTCTTCTTTTTCTGATTAGATGTTGGAGTTCATAGATTTGTTCAATTTTTTATCTTTTCTATTTTCCATTTATTTGTCTTTTGTACTATTTTTTCCTGAGTTTATTGATTTTTAACTTCCTATCATTTTATTGGGTATATTTCAGATCTAGAGTTTTCCTGGTTCATTTTCTCCTCCAAATAAACTTTTTGCTCCTGCAGGTGTTAGAAAGTGGTAGTCACTTGGGGAATATGGGTGGACAGACACATTAGGGGCTACTATTCATTAAAAAGGGTGTTGACCAGTCACTACCCCCTGCCTTTGGGGATACCTGGTGCTTGCAATTCCTGAGCCTTTCTGAGATTTCACAGCATGAGTTGGCTTGCTTGTCTCTGCTGTCTTTCACTATAGGCACTTGGTATTCACTAAGTGCCAACTTAGACCATTGCAGCTTTGCTAACTCCTTCATCCACTGTTCATCTTCCAAAATATTCATTACAACTCTCATGCACTACTGTATTCATGACTATTTTCTTTAGTCTCATGGTTTTACACATTTTAAAATTCATTCACTGTCATTTTTGTAGCATTTCAGAAGTAGATGGGGATATACACATATGTTCTATTTTCCATGTTTAATTAAAACCACTGATTATTTTTTATTAAAGGGTTAGTCAAGTTTCCTGACAAAGTCTCAATTTGAGGTCTGGACTTCCCTTCCACTTTCTCTCCCTCCTTCCATTCTTTCCTTCTTTTCTTCTCTCCTCCTCTCTTTAAATTTTTTTTCATCTTCTCAGATAGCGTGTCAGCTGGTCCATGTTATTTGGCTTCAGAATCATTAGGCTCCATCTGGGTTTTTCTCCATTTTTTTTATTATCACAGAATTATTGTTTGCTAATTTATTATAAAATATTTTACTGTTGCTTCTATGAATCTCAACTCATTCTTTAAACCCTCCTTTGATGATGATAATGATAATAGGGACAATGATAGATATATTTAGTGAACTCTTAGCATGTACCAAGCCCTAAGTGAAGCATATGACATAGATTATTTCCTTGGACTAGCCCTAGGGGCTAGTTGACATTTTCTCATTGATAAGAAGCTAAAGTTTATGGAGTTTTAATAACTGCCCAAGAAACTGTAGTTAGTGAGTTGTGAAACTGGGTTTTAAAAAACTATTTCCTGACCTCAAAGATCAGACTTTACACACTACACTATATTACATCTTGATGGCAAATGATATTAGACAAACACTGATTAGAATAAAATTTTGAATGATTAGATTTTCATTAACTGTCAGAAGCACTTTCTAACAACAGAATGAAATGCCTAATATTAACAGGAGTGCCAGTCTGGAAATAGCTAACCAGGGGTTGGATGGTCATGTGTGAGGAATGCATAGGGTAGGGGTAGTTTTCTGCATTTAGGTGGAGCATGAACTTCAAAATCCCTTTAAAATTTTCAAGTCTTTGATTATGTCAGTTCTAATGTTGTGTGCACATCCATCTCCTGGAAACTTTCTCACAGAATGGTTAGCAGAATTGGCAGCCTGTTCCTTTACCCAATTTCATTCTCTATATATTCTGTATCAATGGGAAGCATGAAAAGACTATATAGCCTCAGGTATATTTTAACATTCAATATTAAAATAATAATAGCTACCATCTACTGAATGCTTACTATGTCCAGATATTATGCTAAAAATTGTATAAACATTCTTTCACTTAGTCCTTATACCAACCCTGAGAAGCTGGATTGTTACTGTCTTGTTACCATTCTAGACCAAAAAAAGTCATGCATGTGATTGACTTAGTCAACTGGGGTTGCATAACAAATGCCACAGACTGCGGGCCTTAAACAAGATAAATTTATTTTCTCAGAGTTCTGGAGAACTGACAAAGTTTGGTTTCTAGTGAGGGCCTTCTTCCTGGCCTGCAGACAACCACTTCCTCACTGTGTCCTCGCGAGGCAGAGACAGAGAAATCACTGTCTCTTCCTTGTCTCATAAGACGGGTAGTCTTATTGGATTAGGACCCTACTTTTATGACCTCATTTAGCCTTAATTACCTCATGAAAGCCCTATCTCTAAATATAGTCACATGGGGGTCAGAGCTTTGACATATAAATTTCTTGAGGAGGATTGATTTCAACTTATAGTATTGGTAGACAGTGTTTAGCTTGGCTTTAATGGAGAGATGATGCCTGAAAATTTAAGACCTTAAAATGTTTAAATTTGGAGAAGAGCATGTTTCTACTATTTTCTGGACACACTCTCTTCTCCATGAAGAGAGGGGATGGATCTCCTGTTAGATGATAGGACTGTTCAGTATTTGGCAGGAAGGGCCAACTGTCTTGTTGTTTATTAAAAAGCAGTAAGAATTCAGTTTCTTTCCTGGTCTTTTGTGTGGTGAGTTTTTCATTACCCCGATAAAGGACCTTCTCAGGTTGTCTTTAAGAGAGAACAATTCTCCTTAGTATCTCTCTATCTGTTCTTGGATCAGGGATGACTTCAGTGTCAACATTTAGTTTGTTTCTCCTTTCTGTCTGCAGAACTAACTCTGTCCTCCAGAAGCTTTTGGTGACTGGTCCTTTTCTTTTCCAGGAAGCTCAAAAAACTATTTCGGAAGCTGAAAGATGAGACAGAACCTGAAGAAATGGACTCTGCCCATTCAAAGCATCCAGAGCAGTGGGACCGAGATTATAGCTTGGAACCATATACTGGACTGACTCCAGAGTACATGGAAATGAGTAAGAGCATGTGATCTTTCCTTCCTGGTACAGGTTCAGACAAGGGGTCTGGGAGAGGGGAGGGGAGGGGAGAGGGCAGGGAAATGACTGCAGCAGCCGCTGCATCTTCCTGTGCTTCCTGGTTACACAAGGCCACCTGCAGTGACACATTAAAGTTGAGGAGTATGAAACAGGAAGAACCCTGGGATGAGAACCAGGGGCAACTCTTATCACCAAGTTGATACTAGGATGTTGCCCTCTTCTCCTAGGGTTTCCTTTCTACATCTTGAAATGAGAAGTTTAGTCTCTCAGGTCCCTGCCCATGGTTTTATCACTGATAAAGCTAAAAGATAAACAGTGAAGTCTGAAATTTGAGGATATAGTTTCCCTTAAGGAAAAGTAAAATAGTCCTATGACACTGGGGACAAGGGTATATACATATTTGACATGGAGAATATAGGAGTCCCCAACTCTGATCAGGTAGGGCTGGGTAAGATGTCAACTTTTCCCTAAAAAACATGGTGATGTTTTGTGTAGAGGGTGAGAAATAGATTTTTGGCCACTGAGCCTCTGGTTGTTCTTGGATAAGACTTTAAAACAGAGGTGCACGTAGTACAGACCAATAGAACATGGTTATTTACATGCAACTAAGACACCATGAGTTTTCCATTATGAGAAGTGTCCCAACTTAGACCAGCTGCCTTCAAACTCTTGGCTATTTGTGAATAATCCTGATCTTTTATTGAGGTGGATATATGAGAAGCCTCTTTCCAAGACTTGGAACTAATGAATTAAAAACATAGGACCAAGAGGTCAGACATATCATCTAAACATTTACTCTGTCCAGAGTGTTGGAGAAACATCAATCATGTCCAAAAAAATAATCACTCAATACTTAATATCATTGTATTACCATAATGACTCCTGCCTCCTTTGTTTAATCACTTTTAATAGGGGACTGCCAATGCCTCTCTGGGCACCAGGTACTTCACTTGTTATTTCTAATTGATATTTATTCTTTTCTATTTGTAAAAATGTGTGCATGTATGTTAAGGGTAGAAAGGAGGGCAAGAGTCTACATTAGATGACCTCAAAAGTTTTGTTCTAGCCCTGGAGATCTAAAATTCCAGGCAAAGCCTGAGCTTTGTATTCTAAATAAACTCAACAGAGAAGAAACAATTATTGTCTGCTTCAGGAACAACAGGCAAAGAAAATATCAAGACCCAGTTTATGTAAACACATAGCTCCCTTATTCTTTTCACCTTTAGTTAAGTGCTACCTCTAATCCCTCTCCAACCAGATATTTACACATAGATGATTACTGGTATTTCAGATGCTATTCTATGCCTGCCATCCTCTCAGAAAGAAACTGCTGCCAGAAATTGAGGTTTCCATCTGGGAAAGGGCTTACTTGAGGGATCCTTGAGCTCTGTCTCTCAACCTCCACCCTCCATCTCTAGTCTTCTACCTCCACCATCCAATTATCTGTAGGTTTTACATATTGTCTGTCTATATAGTTGACTATTTTAATGCTTCCTCTTTTGAGTGATTAAGAGCAGAGGCCATTGAGCCATATTTCTTGGGTTCAGATTCTGGCACTATCACCAACTAGCTGGGCAACTTTGGGTAAGTGGATAATCTTTGTGTCTCAATTTGCTTTAGCTATAAAAAATGATAATAATATCTACCTAGTGGGGTTGTTGTATTTAATTAATTAATATCTGTGACACTCTTAGAAGAGTGTCTAGCACATATAAAACTATGTTAAGTGTCAAGTGTTGTTTCTCTTAATGGTCCTGGGCCCTAGGAAGGCAGAGTGCAAGGAAATATGGGCCCCTTTTTCAGCTGTCATGTCACTGAATAGATAGCCACTCTGTATTCGAACTTGGGCACTTACAAATTAATGAGAAGAGACAAAAACAAAAACTAGAAGACTTGGTGATTTCTGGAAGAAATTCACACCAAAAAGAAAGAGAGTGAAACTTATTCTATAGATTACACACACACACATACACACACACACACACACACACACACACACACACACCCTACTTATAGAATAAGAATATAAGGGAATAAAACAATCATACAGCAGAAAGCTTGAAAATAGAAAAAAGAAGGCATACTTTCCCAAAACTTCCCTCATTCAAGTAGAACTTTTATTAACATTTTGATGCATACTTCTGATCAAGATGGAGGCATAGGCAGAAACACTTTGCCTCCTTGCACAACCAAAAGTAGGACAAAAAATTTAAAAACAAAAAATAACTAGAACTGCCAGAAAATTGACCTGTATGGAAGTCTGACAACCAAGGAGCAAAAGAGGAAACATTTACGCAGACCGGTAGGAGGGGCAGAGACAGGCACTGGGGATAGAGAAAACATGTGGCAAGGCGGCGGCTGGCAGACTGGGTGGTTCCACATTTGTGTGCAGATAAACCATGAGGAGCAGCTGGGGAACAAGACAGACCATGCAATCCAGGGTTCCAGCGTGGGAAAGAAAGCCTCAAAACCTCTCGAGGTAAAAACCTGTGGGGGTTGTGGTGTCAAGAGAAACTCCCAACCTCACAGAAGAGTCCACTGGAGAGACCCACAAGGTCCGAGAATGTACACAAACCCACCCACCAGGGAGTCAGCACTATAAGGGTCCAATTGCTTGTGGGTGGTGGGGGAAGTGACTGAAAGCTGGCTGAGAGCCAAGCATGTGGCACCATTGCCTCTCTGACCCCTCCCCCCAACTTAGCGTCACAACACAGCGACCTGGGTTGCCCTGCCCTGGCGAATACCTAATGTTCTGCCCCTCCCAACATAAGAGGGACACTGAGACAAAGAAACATAGCCCAAATGAGAGAACAGATCAAAACTCCGAATATAGAACTAAGTGATGAACAGATAGCCAACCTATCAGATGTACAATTCAAAACACTGGTAATCTGGATGCTCACAGAATTGATTGACTATGGTCACAAAATGGAGGAAAAAGTGAAGACTATGCAAAGTGAAATAAAGAAAAATATACAGGGAACAAACAGTAAAGGGAAGGAAACCGGATCTAAAATCAACAAATGGGAGCAGAAGGAAGAGATAAACATTTAACCAGGACAGAATGAAGAAACAAGAATTCAAAAAAATAAGGAGAGGCTTAAGAACCTCTGGGACAACTTTAAACAATCCCATATCTGAATCATAGGGGTGCCAGAAGGAGAAGAGGAAGAGCCAGAAATTGAAAAGTTATTTGAAAAAATAATGAAGGAGAACTTCCCCAATCTGGCCAAGGAACTAGACTTCCAGGAGATCCAAGAAGCTCAGAGAGTCCCAAAGAAGTTGGACCCAAGGAAGCACACACCAAGGCACATCATAATTACATTACCCAAGATTAAAGGTAAGGAGAGAATCTTAAAAGCAGCAAGAGGAAAGGAGACAGTTACCTACAAAGGAGTTCCCATAAGACTATCAGCTGATTTCTCAAAAGAAACCTTGCAGGCAAAAAGGGGCTGGCAAGAAGGGTTCAAAGTCATGAAAAACAAGGACCTACATCCAAGATTACTCTATCCAACAAAGCTATCATTTAGAATGGAAAGGCAGATAAAGTGCTTCCCAGTTAAGATCAAGTTAAAGGAGTTCATCATCACCAAGCCCTTATTATATGAAATGTTTAAGGGACTTATCTAAGAAAAAGAAGATGAAAAACTATGAACAGTAAAATGACAACAAACTCACAATTGTCAACAACTGAACCTAAAAAACAAAAACAAAGCAAACACCTAGAACGGGAACAGAATCACAGAAATGGAGATCAGAGTGGGGGGGAAGAATGGGGTAAAAGGTACTGGGAATAAGCAGCATAAATAGTAGGTACAAAATAGATGGGGAGGTGAAGAATAGCATAGGAAATGGAGAAGCAGAAGAACTTATATGTATGACCCATGGACATGAATAAAGAGGATGGCGGGGTGCTGGGGAGAGGGGCAGTGCAGGGTGGAGGGGGATAAAGGGGAGGAAAAAAATGGGACAACTGTAATAGCATGATCAATAAAATACATATTAAAAAAACAAAAACGTTTTAATGCTATTTCTTAGACCCTTTTCTTCTTATATCTGATTTTAAAAATAAAGTGATCATATTCACACATTTGTCTCCCTTTTTTTATTTAGCATTATATGACTATTTCCAAGTTGTCACATAATATTCACAGTAAATAGCTACATAATAAATAATCCGTCTCATAAATGTATCATAGTTTATTACATATCTTTCAATGAAGTACATTATAGGCTCATTTTCTAATTTTTCCCCTATTTTAATGATCTAATATATATTATCTTCATATATATAATCTTTTGCACATTGGAAATAGTATTATTTCCTCAAGATAGACTCCCACAGATGTAATTACTAGATTTGACATATGGCCATTGTATGGTTCTTGATTTATTTTACCAAATTGCTGTCTGAATGATTAGTTCATCTACCTACAGGCAATATACAAAACACCCTTCCAGTGAGTACACATTATTCAGTAACTGGAAGTCATGTGATATGGAAGAATTATCAGTGTGCAGTAAGCTTGAGATTCTCAGACCCTGTGCCTACCTCATTCCACTTTGTTGGCCTGAATATTCAGATTTATCTTTAAGCTTTTCACAGTGCTTCCACTGTGAAGTCTTCCTAGACAAAGCCCTGTTTCTCCTGAGAGGAATCATTAATTATTTGTTTTGTCCCAGTGTTGCATTTGATAGACACACTGAAGGTGTATCTTGCAGAATCATGGTAATATCACTCACACATCTGTTCTTCAGCAGACCCAGTCTATAAGATTCCAGAGATCAGTAAGTAGGAACTAAGGCTTATTCATCTTCATATCCTCCAGAGTCTGTATATTTCTTGGCACATAATCGGCAGATCATATGCCTGATAATCAAAAACAACAGTGAGTGAATGAATGAGTGAATTTATTAATTAATAAATAAATTAATTAATAATTAATTTATTAATTAATTAATTAATCAAAAACAACAGT